GGAGAAAATATGCGTACTGGAGTGTGCGGCATTAAAACTAATTGATTTATTTTAGCCAGGCAGTGTTATGTGTACTTAGCAAAATGAACTGGTTGTTTCTGGTCATTGTGTCCTTCCAGATCTTTGAGCATAACTCATCCTTGCTTGTCTTGTTGTTATTCACAGACTGCAAAAAAGAAACAAATCTCCTCTGCAACTTTTCTTTTTTTTCCCCTCAATTTCAAGCAAAGCAAGGAACGTTTCACTTGTGCTGCTTGGATAGGGCTTTGTTTTTTTGCTTAACAAGTGTTTTAAGTCTTATGGTGAGTTGCCATTATCTTAGAGAATAAGTAAAGCCAGGGTAATTGGGAAGTCTGTAGAATCCTACTTAAATGACAGTGCTGAGAATTTGAGTAGTCCCTTGAAGAGGGCAGGGGGGCAGCCCTCTGCAGTAGCCCYGTAAGATGCCTTACACTGGCATCTTCCCGCCCCGGCCGCTCTCTGTAGCGGAGGAGTGCTATTTTGGTGCCTGTGAATGGGCCAGGAGCGGGTCCAGCAGGTACCTTCAGCCTGTGACCAGTGAGGGACACAGACTCGGTCACCTGCAGGGTCTGGGCAGGAGGGCTAAGGTGCCATCTAGGAGGCTCTCCGTACAGCACGTCCGTGAGCAAAGCTGCACAGCTCCATCGCTGGGGAAGGTGCCAGGTTCTCCTCAAAGAAGTGAACTGCTTTTGTGAGGAGCATTTTAAAATACAAAGTTATGATGAGATTCGATCGTGTATTGTAGACCTGTTATCTAAGGTGTGTCTGAGAAGAGGATAACTTTCCTGGATTATATGAGACTGGAGGGAAAAAGAGAATCCATTAGTCTTCTGGAGACTTCCAAGCTGCTATTTGTTCTGCTAGAAATAGGACAGGAGTGGAGGAAAAAGAAACCTTGGCTTGAGGAAGGCATGAATTGTTCCTCCCCTTACCTGCACTTTGAGRGCACTTTCTGTCACGCTGCTCCTTGCAGCGAGTTAGGGATGCAGGCTCAGAAGAATGCGGTAAGTGACCTGAAGTCTTCATGCTCCCATGTTTTAGTATCCCCTGGGGCTGCTCTGGGTGGTGCCTTTGGCAGTGCCCCGGAACAGCCGGTGTGCCCACCCTGCGCTCCTGATACAAGGAGCAGGGTAGGAAACCCAGGTACCTGTGCCTTAACTCCACTGCTGCCCACACGGCCAAACATGGGCGCTCCTTTTCCAGCACTGATCTTGGGTTTGCAGCTAATTCTGAGAAGTCAGGTGCCAAGCTCTCCGACAGGATAATGTTTTACAGCTCTTCCTTGCTTCATGCAGACCCTGCCTGAGCGTTAGGCTCTGCAGAACCACTGGGTCGGGGTTCTTCTGTGGACCCCGTGCCAATTCTGCTGTTGGCTTTCTCCTTCTTGTGGCAAGATAGCAGTTTGCTGCTCATGGCAAATCCTGGTAAGCTCTTAACTGCATTTTTATTTAGTTATTGTTAGAGCGTTTGTGCAGATTTCCTAACCTGTCCTGCACTGCTTGGACCGTAACAAAGCATTTGTCCATTTGCCCGTTAGCTCTCCATGCCTTGTGGGGATTCTTCCTGGACGGCTGGGTGAGGAGCAGGAGTCCCGGGCGCTCAGGGATATGGAGCGGGCGCCGGGGCTCGGCTTTCCCTTCGGGTGGGTGTGCTGGGAGCGCAGTCGTTTCACTGGCTGCCCCGCTGCCCGGCCGCGCCGCTCTCCGGCTGAGCGGCTGTGGTGATGTCAGCCGGGTGAGGAGGACACATGACTTGGCAGGACAAAGTCTGCAGAAAGTTCAGCGCTGCTCTTGGCCCGGGGCCTCGGTGGGGCTGCGACCRACACACGTGCTCTGCTGCGCGGTGTCACACACCCTCACGTGCTCCCCTCCTGTCACACACACTCCTTTCTCTCCTTCCCAGAGCCTTAACCCTCCCCTCCTGACTTGCATTGTGTGGCTACACAGAAGGAGGAAATCCCTGCTCMTTTTCCTTCTGTTATTGTGCCTTGTAAATGCTCAGTTAAACTGACCCCTAGAGAAGAAATGGGCAGACTGTGCAGGCGGCAGCCCAGAATGGCAGAGTYGAGAGTAGGGCGAGTTCACCTTGCCCAGAGCTCTCAGTGGCCTTTTCTTCTGAGCCATCCCCCTACTGCCAGACTAGTCTYGTGCCCCTGCTGCTGCACTGGTCTTTACTGTGGTTCCTGGCAGCTCTGCTGACCTCCCTCCTTGCCCTCCTAGTTCTGGATGCATTGCTCCGCTGTGGCAGGATGAGAGTCCCTGCGTCCCCTGTTCTTCTGCGAGCAGAGTCAGCAAACCTGCCAAAACAAATTGCAGGTGCTGGGTGTGTGGGGTATAGACTAAAGTATGGAAAAGTCAAGCTCGTTCTTTGAAGCAACTTAAAGCCCAATTGCAATATCTATTTTGTGTATTCTTTGTTTGGGTGTTACTGCAGTGTTGTATTTTCTTTGTAACCTCTGTGCTACATCTAGGGATGATATTTCTGTGAATGGGAATGGGTACTTTTACCCTACTGCCCTTAAGGGAATTGTAATGAGTTTCCTACCTGTTTTGCAATCCAGTGCTGAATTTCTCTCTTGCCCGTGAGCAATAGTATTTGTTTTGCTTGATGCTTTTGGGTGGGATGGTGCTTGGATACTAAGTGCTGTATAGCTACGTTATAAGAGGGCTGTTTCTGGGAAACAGTCCTGTGTCAGCGCTGCTGATGCGCAGCGTGCTGGTGAAAGTGCTCTCGGGTGGGAGGAAAGGAGCATCAGAGAAACGAGCAAACAGTAAATGGTGCTGCCCTGTCCCCTCTCTCTTCTTTGCCTCCTGTTCTTGGCATGCTTTTATTTCTTAGATGCTAGAGGATGCAGGTGAGCGGTTCAGAAGAGGCTGATCTGGATGAGCTGAGGCCTTCTAAGTTCCTTCTGGCTCTACTCTGATTCATCTTAGTTTGGGAGAACTTTACCCTCTTATCTCCCATGTTTAAAAAACAAACCGACCAAGCACAAAGCACTGCAGCGACGCGGTGTTCATCAAACACTGCAGCGCTGCCGCCGCCTCCTGCTGCGCGCTCCTGTGGAAGGGTTTGGCTGCCGGCAGGAGACAGGGCTGTGGTTCTGCTCAGAGCGGTCAACAGTGGTTTGTGATGCTGATCTTGAACAGGAGGACTGGGATGACCTGGGGGACTGAGCAGATTTTATATATATATGTATGTGTGTGTTTGTATGTATCTTTTTGGTGCTACCCACTGAAAGCAGTTGGCTAACAGACGCAGGTCATAGGATTTTATTCCCTAACTTCATAGAGTTTGGTGGAGAGTAAAGTATTTYGGAGAAGGTCATCAGGTAAACAGTACTTTGTATGTTTTTATGTACGTAGTGTTACTATTCTCCACATACAGCCATGCAGAGCAAAAACCTGCAGTGCTGTTTCTGTAGGTATAACGTAGTGGGATTTCTTATAGGCCAGGGCTGGAGTTAAGCCCTTTTCCCTGGCATCTTCCCTGTCAGGGTGCTGCTTTGGATACTTGTCCTTGCTTTTCTTCTGTGCTGTCCTCTCTCCAGGCTGGACAAGGCATTGGGATGGCATCGCAAATCCACCTCCAGTCAGGCTTGTATTCCCTGCAGCAAGGATGTGATGGAGGTATGGGGGGCTGAGGGTTGGCTAGTAAAGAAGGAGGGTGGGATCTGAGGTAGAGTTTTCCTGTGCTCTGGGCCTGTGGTTCTTCACAGTCACTGAAGGGAGAGGTTTCACTTTTCCAACCTCTGTGAAAGGCTCTGTCTTAAAAATATGTTATGTCCCATGCCCCTTACTACCRCTGCCTCCTGGATAGATGACACTGGGTGTTTTCTGTCTCCTTTTGTCTGTCTTCTGAGAAGACTTGGGAAATTYGGTGTCTTAAAATGATTGCTGAGAAGGCTGCTGGGCTGCTGCATTTTGGCTAGCTCTGTGCGAGCAGGTAGCACTAGGTACTGGTGGCTGAAAGGAGCTGGAGAAAGAGCCCAGGGAGAAGCAGGTTCTTCGGGCACGTTGCTGTGCTGCGGTGCAGTGGCTCTGCTCAGCAGGCAAAGCGGGGGCACTTCTCATTCCTGACTTTGAAGTAGGATGTGCTGAGCTGGTGCTGCACCTGCGATGCCTAAGAAGGGATCAGCAGCAGGATTAGTGAACTGCTAACATCTCAACTGTGTTTTTTGCAGGCTGGGATCTTGCTGATTAGCAGATTATTTCATAGTAGAGATTTTTCTTGGTTGCTTAAACATCTCACGTGTGGGGCTTTTTTGTGATTTTTGTGTGAGTGTGTTCTTGGTCTGCCGGTGGGCATGCAAGCATTGCACCACTGACCAGCCRCCTTGGCATCGATAGTTACCTGTGCAAGGACAAAAAAGAGTCTTTCCGTTCAGATCCTTGGGGAGCAGGTGGGAGGTGCGGGTCAGGAATGCTGCCGGCACCCACATTCCYGCAGGGAGCGTTTGCTGCTGTAGCCGGCGCGGACAAACATTCCCCTGCACGGAGGAGGCTCCCGGCTGTTCCCGCCTCTCGAGCCTCCCATGGAGCTGCACAGAGCTGCCCTTTGCCCCTCTGTGGGGAGCAGGGGGCCAGCTGCTCTGCTCGCTGTGCTCCGTCTTCCTGGGAGGAGCCCAGGGGGGACTTTTCCTGTGCAAAGCTCCGTTTGTGCTTCCTGCTGTCCAAAGGTCGGTGCCGATAGCGGCGTGGAGCTGGCAGCGAGGGGAGCCCAGCTGGACGTGGGGAGTGTACGGCTCAGCTGCTGCGCCAGGTTCCGCTCCTGCTGCGGGAGGTGCTCGGAAGGGATGGGGCGCTGCCTGGCCCCCCATTTGGGACTCGGGCTTCTCAGTCTGGTTGTCATACAGAGCCAATGAAGGAGGCCTTGTCCTTCCATAGGACAGCTTGGAGGGTGGCYGGGGATGCTATTGCTGTAACACCTTCCTTGCTGTATCCCAGAGCATTCCTTATTTTAATTATTTTTTTCATTCCTCTGGTAGCTATGCCCTAGATCAGCCAGGGACTCAAAACCTGAGGTGACAATGCAGTAGGAGGCCTAGGAAGAGAAGGGTCTTGCTAGCCAGGCCTGGACTGTGCTGCCCTTCCGAGCCTGGAGGACCTTGTATGGATGCCCTCTGGAGGAATTTCATGTCAATAAGGTGGCCATGTCAGTCTGAACCTCTCCTTTTACTCATTTCTTCAGAGTTAATTAACGGGTAAAAAGTCTGTCCTCTTTTACCATTATCTCTTCTCCCTCCCTCCCTTTGTCAAAGGGACTGATACTTCCATGCAAACAGGAAAAGAGGCAGTGAGAGCCCTGTGCAGTGCGGGTGAACTCTAGTAACCTCTCCTCCTTTCTCCTCCTTTCAGTTGCAGGACCAAGGACATCTGGCAGCCCAGAGAGGGAGGGAGGAAACAGAAAGACACAGCCCATTTGAGGATCTCGCTGCCCTGCGAGCAGTCCCACGCTCGCTCCCTTCCCCTCGCTCCTCCAAGCGCCGCGGCACCCTTTGATCAGGCAGGAACCAAGAGCAAAGGCAAAACCTCAGGCTGTGGCAGACAGAGACAGGTGAGAGAGGAGGGAGAATTTGCTGCTGCATGAGGCGTGTGAACAGCAGGGCCCGTTTCTTTCTTTCTTATTTTTTTCTGTTTTTTTTCCAAAACAATTACTGTTGGGGTGAGGGGTTCCTTTGCAGAGCTCCTAAGTTCTTGGGTGGGCTGGGAGTCAGCACATTCTGTCTGATAGGCTGAATCTGTGATTCATCTGATAGGCAAAATATGATTCATCTGGTAGATAATTTTGAAAGGACTGTTTCCAAATGAGAGGGATATCTGCAAGCTTTCTAGGAAGGGAACAAATCCTATGTTCTAGTGATCATAGACAAGGAATGAGTCTGCTTTTTGATGTGGAGCAAAGCAAATATCCTTTGGCTGATGCTACCCTGGACTTATATTCTGTTTCATGTAGTACAGTAGTGCCTTATGACTGTAACTTGCTTTGCTAACTAACCTAGAGCAAAGAGAGGCTTCTCTTTTGCTTCAGTCCTTTAGTCCTTCTTGCCTGGAGTAGAGTGGAACTGACTTGGAGCTTCTGTTTCTGTCACTGTCCATTTATACCAGCCTGTTTTTGATATTTCAAGAGCATCTTAGTCATATTGACTTCAGGTTCRTCAATTTCTGCTTTGCACTTTCGATGTGCTGTAAGGCTTGTTTTGGAAGGGAAATTACAGAGCCTTCTCACTCTCCCAGAGGTCACCATTAGCGTGCTTTTCCTTCTGTGATGGCCTGTTTTCCCCTGGCCAGTTTCATTCTTAGTTGTACTTGTAGCACCTTCCCTATGTTTGCCCTCAATTTTCAAGCCTTCTTGCTTCTCTTCCATGTCCTCTTTCACCCAAGTCATACACGCTTTGTGATTTTAGTCTGTTCAGCTGCTAGTCGTTTTGCTGCTGGTCTCTGCTGCCACGGCATCCCTCCCCAAGCAGGGCAGGAGCTGTCATACTGTATGTTGAGGCCGATCTAAAGGCAAGGGTGGAGGCACAGCCTGAGGGAGGATGTCCCAATAAAAGTTGGGTGCTGCAAGGAGAACCCAGGCAGGCTCAGGGAGTTGAAAGGCTGTGTCAGAACTCTGCAAAGTCAGGAGCACCAAGGGGGATGGCCAACAACAGCAGGAATAAGGGCTGGGGTAGAGGAGGGGAGCTCTAACACTCACTGCCAGGCAGAGAGGTGGGAATAAGAGCCTTAACATGTGGGCAAGAGACAAAACATGCTGATGTCCCCGAGGAGCAGCCTGCAGAGCCAGAAGTGACTGACAGGGCTTTTCTGTGCAGCTGGTGGAGCTGGCAGCAGCGTGTGCTGAGGCAAGGCTTGCCGTCAGGCAGTGAAGCCCGGTTTGATAGCAGAGGATGAAAGCAGTCAGGAGGCTGCAACCTCCTGGCTTTTTTTTTTGTCAGCTTGAGACGGGTGGTAACCTGTAAACTCCTTGCACTTTGTAGATGTATTTATTCTTCTGAGGGATCAAAATAGATTATGTGATTCCAAACAGGATCCCTGAATTTCTGTGTACAGACGGATTTATGGCTGGAGCACAGAGCTGGTCTCTGTTCCTTGAGATCCTTGCAGAGCAGATCTTTCCCTTAGTAAATACGCAGTTCATGATTACTGTTCCTGCCAGCCTTACGTACTGTCCTACTCACCTTCCATTTTCATGTTTTGTCCCCCTCATTGACAGCCTGAGGTTGATTATATTTCTAAGTGACAATACTTACCTAGGCTTATGTTTTCTGCCCTGAAAGACAACAGAGCCCTTTTTGACCTCAGCGTCATTGAAAAGCAGCCTCTGCAAGCTTGTACCCTCTGACACCAGCATCTGCAGCATTTCCTGTGAAATGTAGTGATGCACAGAGCAAGAGGAAGGAATGAACCAGCGTTAGCTAGGAATAACCTTTTGCTCCTCTGAGACAACACTGACATAGAACCGAGTTCTTGGGGGAAGCTTGTGAAAATATTCTCACTGCTGTGTTGTGGAAGGTCTAGGGAGGAGCATTGGGTCACAAAATGCCAGTCAGCCCTTCAGAAAGAATTGGAGCAGTGGTGAGAATGCTTTGTTCTTTGCTAGGTTTCTATGAAACATCAGTCCTCCAACCCATTTCTTTTCTCAGCTGTTCAGGTCTGCAGCCAGCCTTATGCTACCTGCAGCAGCATTACTCGTATGCACGATGGGCACTTAGATTTCAGTGGAGGTGTGCACTGCTTTGACCCCAGCTTTCAGAGGCAGGTTCAGATTAGATGTTGGTGTGTGCACTGCATGTCAGAACATATTTAGATGTCAGAATGTCGAAATGATTTCCCTGCTTTAAATGTCTCTAAGACAGCCCTTCCTGTCAGATGCATTTGTTCATTGACATTGAATTTTAGGCCCATATGCCAAGGCCTTTGACACAGATGTTGACACAGTCACGTTCACACTTGTGCACACTTGCAGGTTTCTTCTGATGCAGTCGGGCTGGAAAGTGCTGCATCTGGATCTGGAATAGGCCTCTGAACTGAGAATACAGGATGAGACAAGGCTATTCCTGCAGGAGATAGTGAAGGTTTCTGGACATTAACATGAGCTGCAAGAGTCAGCATTGCTACCTTTAATCTCCCTTGTGGTATTTTTTTGCTGATCTGGAAGCTACTAGTGTCTGGGTTGTTCAATGCTTCAGCAAAGGAAGAGAGGGAAGGGGAGGAGTGGGGAGAAGCTGATGGCAACAATTTTCAGAAGTGCTCAGTGTCTCTTTTGAGCTGTGAGTGACAGAGACTGAGACTTGCTTCCCTCAGCCTTTCATCTATATTTTCTTCCTCATTACAGTCTGTCTACTCACTAGGTTCCTCTGTTCTAGATGCTGCATTTGAGAGAAGAGATTGCCCCATCTTTTGTCATTCGGCCAGCTCTGGTTTCTAAAATGCTCAGTGAGAGCTGAGAGAGGCTGTGGAGGCAGCACAGCAGATTATATCAAGAAGACAGTGTTCCTTCTTGCAGGTGTAGCTTGCATCATCCTTCTCTATCTTTAGTTGACAAGGTGATGCAAACAGGACCGGTAAAAATTTGTTAATGCAAAACCCAAGATTTTTGTGCATCTGAAAACATCTCTCCTAAATTTCCATGCAAACTGGCCCCTGGTCTGGTCATGCATCCTCTCAGCTGTGACCTTTTGGGGTAAATGCTTGTTTAGTTTTCTTACTTAGCACCAGGCTGCTGCTCTTTGCAGCTAGGTCAGTTGTACCTAGCCTGAAGCAGTTACTGGAGCTGCAGAAGGAGGAAGTGCTTTATCTTAGGAAGGGCTTTCGATGCTCTGACCTGGCCCTGCTGTTTTAGGAAGGGTAGAAGCTGGTGCATGAAATGGGAACATGTGGGTTTGTTTCACAGCACGAGGATGGTGGCTGATATGCCTAACCCCTTGCCATGCCCTGTGTGTATTTATATTGTACTGCCCTTTCTGTTGGTAACTGCAGACTGGTCACACATAGCCAGGAAGTCACCAATCTCTTCCTTAGAAACTCCCCTTTGAGCGCCAGCTGTCCTGGCAGCAAGTTTCACTCTTGCAGTGTCGGTGGTGGTTGTGTGGATGACAGTTTTGAAATCCCTACAGCCTGTACCCTCCTCTTCTTTACTTTGCAGAGTACATTGCATCTCGTGGCTGGGCTGAGGTGGGACTGAGTCTCCAAGAGAACAGGAGTCAGCAGGGCCTGAGCACCATCATTCAGCCCCTTAGCTGGAGAATCAGAGCTGAGCTTTGAAAAGGCCCTGCAAAAGTGCTGGTGGTGTTTCCTCCCTCACACTCACTAATGGCTGAGTGAGTCTTGAGCGTGGTTTAGAGGAATGTGGAGATGCACTCAGTCAGTACGTGTAGCCCTGTGTTTCGTGCTCAGACATGCCCCGAGTCATCTGACACCTGCATCAGAGAGGAGCCCACGTGGGATTAAGAAAAAACAGTGGGTTTGTTTCATTCGAGTTCCTGTTCTGTCACTCTGTACCTCTCTGAGGTCTTCAGCTGCTGCAGGATTTACCATGAAGTTGTTTTCTTGAAGTCAGTGGAGAACTGGGAGTCTCTCTGAATTTGTTGCAGTTCAGATCTGTTTGGTTGCAGTCTTTTGCATTAGGATCTTTTCCTTGCTGCCAGTTTGAATTTCCATGTTTGTTGCTGTTGCATTTGTCCCTGGCAACCTGTTTTTCAGTGATTCAGTGGCTCTGTGCACCCAAGGGAAGGGAGCTCTGGATTCCTGACGCTGCCCATATTTCAATCAGGCTGTATTTACAGGGTCATGTGAGTTTGTATGTCCTGTGATTTTAACACCTGTGTCCATTATCTGCCACAGTATAATGGGATATGGCAGGAGCCCAGCAGGCTTGGCAGTGTGACTGTATTTGTGCTTGATGACTGTCCCTCCTGCAGGACTGTGTGGGGTGGTTTGTAGAAGGACCTGGTGCTTTTTTCTCCACCTTTGGCATTTTCAAAAAACGGCACTGTCTGATCTGAGTACCTAGAGGAACTTGGAGTTGGGATCCCCTGCCTCTTCCCAGGCAGCACTTGGCCTGTGGTGCCCGTCCCTGGGCACCTGGTGCTTTTATAGYGGGGCTGCCGCGTGGCCTTTTGTCCCTCAGTCTCTTGCAGAGTGACAGGCTTCCAGTCCTGAGCACTCGGCCAAGTTAAAATGGTGCAGGCCCTTTAATGTAGATGCTCTGTAAATCAGTTAATCCCTTTAGTTTGCATTGGTAAATCACTGAATTAAGATCAACTGATTTAAATACATGTCCAATCAGATTAGGTGTGTTTACAGTAGCAGTTCATATCAGTTTAACTATAGTCCAACCAGCAGAGCCTTTCTTTTGTGCAGGCAGGACCTTTTGGAGGAAGGTGATTGGATTCACTTTCAGGTTTTGTAGTGGAGTTAGTGCTGCATGAGATGCATTTTAGTGTGAGTTTCTAGTTCCAGGAAAAGGTTTCCTCAAATTCTTCATCACACGGTGATGAATCTATTTTCTGAAGGTGGCATAAGAGTCATTGTCTGTAAGTATGATGTTGGCCTTAATTCCTAGATGTGCATCAAAGGAGGATTTGTCATCCTCATCTCTGATGCATCACTGCTCTTTGTCACAGCTCTGGCAGCTGCCAGTGATGGGGGAATGTTGTGTTTCCTTGTATCAGAGTTGTCCCTGCGGATGGTCTGTGGGCTCTGCAGTGCATGCCACAAGACCTATCACAGCTGGCAGCAATGAGCAATTTATTACTGGAAGCTTCAACAAAGGCTGCCAGGTGTAAAGTCTGGAATTTCCCTGTCAGGCACTTGGAGAGGCGAGGGCTGAAGGTCTGTGGTGGGGACWGGTAAGCAGTAATAAAAACTTGTCCTGCTCTGATAAATACTCTGGCAACAGACAGTTTTATATCTGGRTGTGCTAATCTTCTGGCATAGTTTATTAGTTTATTAAAACATTTTGTTTCGAGTCAATAAACTCTGACAAAGTGCAGTTAATTGTCCCCCCTGATAAATAAGGAAACAAACTCCTGATGTTTGTAGTGTGGCTTGTGATAGACTCTGGGGAGTTAACAGTCTTGGTAAATGAAGCCCTGCCTCACATGTGCCTGCGTTTCTCCACAGGTGTTTCTTTTCCGACTTCCAGGAGCAGAGGGAAGCTGAAGGCCCTTCAGCCCCTTGYGGAGCTGCAGCCATGAGGTCGTAGGGACCTTCCCGTGCGGCCTCCATGGGTCCCTCCCAACTCACCACGCAGGATCATGGGAAGCGAGCGGCCACTGTGTTCGAGATGGAGGAGGAAGGGCTCTCCCTCTTCCCTGCCTCAGACAACCCCCCTGAGCACACAGGTATTGGAAAATCTSTACTCAGTCCACACAAGCTAAAAGAATTCTCTCAGCTGCAAACGGAACCMGCATTTAGTAGAGCTGCAGAGGGAGGGAGTCCTGCTGCACTATAGGCACACAGGCATAGAAAGACAGGCACCAGAATCACACTGCAGGAGTAGTCTTCCATGAAACACTGAGGTTTAAAGAGTATCAGGAAAGAGAATGTACATTTTATGGTCATAATTGTCTGATGTACGGAATTCTGTACATTGGAACTATAAGAAGACCATGATATAGTGGCCACGGGACAGGTAACAGGAAGGAAAACAAAGGATAAGTAATGGTTCTGGCATAGTATCAGCAACTTAATGAAGGTATTACAAATACATTTAGCTAGTTGTTAAACAGGCAATTGGCAGTCCTTGCTTTCGGAAAAACAGATGGTCTGAACGTTGAACCCGTTAATGAAGTAGAAATGGAGAAAGTGGTTTAAAGGTGAAGAGTTAACAGTTCAGAATAACTCCCAATAAAAGGACTTAAAGCAGCTTTGAGGACAATTAAAGAAAATAGGCAAATGCTTTAAAAGGCACAAGGGGAAAAATGCTAAAATGTGGAAAAAAAGAATTGAATAGCAAGCCTACTAAAGAGAGAAAGCCCTAATGAGCATCAAAAGTATAGAACTGGCATTCAAGCGTGGTGCATCTCAGATTATTTCTATGTCTAATCTTTTTCTAACTACATAAAATAACAAGAATGAGCTATATAATTCAAATTGTGATCATTCAGAAGTGGAAAGTAATTTACATAGATCAGAGTACACTTCTCTGTTTCTATAGAAACAATCATGGGCATGGTAGTCGGACTTCTTTGTAACTTTAAGATGGCTAAAATCTGTTTTGCACTGGGCATGCCCTTCGTGTGGAAGTCCTYAAGTTGCCCTGCTGTCCTTCTGAAATTTGTGAACATTGAGGGCTTTGTCAAAACTATCATGCTTGTTAGTATGTCTGTAATGGCCTCCCCAAAAAAAGTAATTTAACTGTAGGCCTTGCATATTTTTTTCACGGTAGCAGATGGTATGAGGAGAAATACAGTAGGAATGAGGGAAGGGGGATACCAGAGACTTAACCTTTCTGATGGCATTTTCCTGCTGTCCAGTCTGCAATGAGAAGTGCAGGCCAAAGTTAAAGACCTCTAGACCTCTGTAAAGTCAATGGGGTTGAAAATCAACACCACGATACTTAAGACCGAAACCAATATGCAGTGAAGAACACTACTCGTCATTTCTGAGGCTGACCCAAACCTTTCTGACTGTTTAGCGTTTCAGGTATGTTAGCAGAATAGGAAGCAGAGCCAAGAAGTGCTGGGAGTGTTTAAACCAGAAGTATGAAAATCAGGCCATTTTAACCCCATTGCCCCTCAGGAAACAAAGCAGCCTTGTCCTCCAAACCAAACTCTGTAAATTAACGCCATTATAGAGACTCTCCAGGCATACCTAGAGACCTACCAAGGTTATGCTGTTTGTGTTCTTCACGGGCAGCTGCCGTTGTTCATAGAGCCACAGAAAAATCCATAACATCAAACAGATGAGAGGAAAAAAAAACAGAAAAATACAGATGTCCAATGTCAGCATGGCTAGAATGAAAATGAAAATGAGGAATGAAAATAGAGATGGCTGACACATTCAGGGGAGGAAATGCACACAAACGTAGGCAATACTTCACTGGAGTACTTCAGGTGAGACATGTCAGAGCAGACCAAAGGGGGTTTTGAAACATACAGCCAATCACAGGATTAAGATCCATCTGAAAGAAGCAGGATGTGTTGTACAAGGCCATGTAAAATATAAGACAGTAGAAAAGTCTTACATTTCAAATGGCATACAAAGATTGAATAATAAATCTGTCAGTGTGAGGGTGTGTTAGGCTGGGGGAGTGGGGAGCACTGTTCTCCAAGCAGACATTGTTGCTGCAGAGTTCCACAGATGCACAGAGCTGCTGCCATGTGCTGCTCACGTGCTCTTTGCCCTAATCCCACAAAGTTGATGTCTTCTTTCTTGACTGTTTCTGCAAGTTTTCCAGGATTGCCTAAATTGGAATTATAATTCCAATTATGAAGACTGTCTGTAGTATCATGATTCTCAGCACTGGGTTTCTTTGATGCTTGGACTACTGAAGCATCCTAGTGTATGAAAAATGTGACAGAGAGCACTGGAGATGAGGGTTACAGAAACTGATTTTTCTGAACACTCTGGGCTTTCAACTTAGCCTTTTTGTGGCCTTTTCTCATGTTGCTGGCTGTCACTCCCGCTGATGGAAGGTGCCGAACATCTGACTTGAACATGTTTTGGCTCTTTCAGCCTGTTGGGATGAAAAGAATCTGAAACTATGTATGTGCTATATATGTGCTTATGTTTAAAGTTAAACTTTCAGAGTTTCAACTATGGCAATAGTTATTTGTCACAGCAGATAATATGCCAGCTCGGAGGGGAGCCTGTGGAATGACAGAGGGGATTTATTTATCTGTGTGTTTGGAAGGTGGTGGGTCTGAAGGAGCCTGTCAGTCGTTCTAAGAAGCGCGGCAGGCGGCTGCAGACACGCGCTTCCCTCGTGCTCACGCGGCGCTTTTCCCCTTTCCCGGTTGTTCCTCTCTGTAGAAAATCCCCCCCTGAAGCGGAAGAAGGGCCCAGCCCCGAAGATGCTGGGAAACGAAGTGTGCAGCGTGTGCGGGGATAAGGCCTCGGGCTTCCACTACAACGTGCTGAGCTGCGAGGGCTGCAAGGGCTTCTTCCGGCGCAGCGTGATCAAGGGCGCGCAGTACGCGTGCAAGAACGGCGGCAAGTGCGAGATGGACATGTACATGCGGCGCAAGTGCCAGGAGTGCCGGCTGCGCAAGTGCCAGGAGGCCGGCATGCGGGAGCAGTGTGAGTGCCCGCCAAGCGCTGCCGGGGCTGCGCGGGGCAGGGGCTGCCAGTGCGGCCACGCCGGCCTGCCCGGAGCTGCAGCCTCGCTGTGCTCCCAGCAGTGATCCCAGTCGTTTGTCTTGTATCAGCTGTGAGGCTGTTTCTGTCCGTGCTGCTGCTCACGGATCGGGGGGCAGCCTCCCCTACAAGGCATCCAGGTTTCAGGCCCTGGCTGGCCAAAACTGACCAAGCAGCGAATGTAAATCCTATGTGGGGTCTCCTTCCTGGCATGCAGCATCCAGAGCAGTGATAAATACAGGATTATTTTACACACTTGTTTATTAATATATTTCTGTAAAAGAAATGGTGTCCATCCAAGCTGCATCACGGAAACCATTGATTTGTGTGTGTGTGTGTGAGAAACGTGATACAATTAACCCATATAATCAGTATCACACTAGTTTAGAGCAGCGTTGCGGATACTGCCTTTTGTTCTATTCCCCCATGCTCCAGAGAGCTCCGAAACARATTTATTTGCCAAGCTATACAGCAAGGCTTCCTATTCACCTTGCTGCTTTTTTTGTTGCAAGTAGTTTCCAGGGAGCCTCAGAGTGTTTCAACGTTTACTCATCATCACATGGTGAAGACAAGGTGCAATTCCACTCAGGAAAATTAGGCCAGAAGGAATCTTTGTGCCATTATTATCAAGGGCTTGGCAAATTTGGCAGACACTGAAATCGCAACTGTAAATTTGTCTTGTTAATCCTGACAAATTGAGGACTTTTCTTCCCAGCTGTCCTAATTGGAGAGGCATTCTGGAGCTTCCTTTTCTGAATTATTGGGAACATTCTTCTAATTCCCAGACTGCAGTTATTCATGGACAGCTTGTATCTGTTCTTGAGCTGGAATGTGCCGTGCGGTTAAAGATCCTTTATGGAAAACTGAGTGAACTCAGATCACTTTGCATTTACCGTGTGGAAAATGCACACAGGCACTTCCAAAGTACCTGGGAACTTGTTACAGAGCTGTAAATTCTTTTGAGCCTGAGCCGTAATATGAGGGACAATAAGAGCATGGGTCACTTCCTTCCTTGCTTAGACTAATACTGACTGACATTCTCCAGGCTTAGATTTCCCTCCAACTCGGCAATGATATTTAATGCCTTTGCTGTTTGAACCGTGACTCTGTGTGTGTGTGTGTGTGTGTGTGTGTGTGTGCATCCACACATGTGCCATCCCTTTTGGAAGCCTGGAGTGAAAATTACTCAGCCTCAATGTTCTTTGGCTTTCTCTCCCATCCTGCATAACGTAATTTCTATTTCAGAACATACTTTCATGATAGCTCTCCAGTTCTTGCCTTCATATCTAATGTGATTCTTTTAAGAAGTGCAAGAATGTACTTGTTCAATTTGGGAGCCTGCTTTTCTGTGAAGCACTCGTGTGTCCTTGTTACCTTTGTATAAAATTTAAAATTTATCACCAACTGGTAGAATGATTTTAAGATGATTTTCTGGAAGGTAATCCTATAATACTGGTAGGTCCGATAGGATGTGTGGGGATTTTTTGTTGTTTTGCTTGTTTTCTTTTTTGATACAGATTTCAGATAGTTCTTGCAGCTTTGAATCAACAACAAACCTCCTCTGCAGTCACATTATTGAACTCCTCAGTTAATTATAGACCTTCARCACTTTTTTTTGCGTGTTTAACTCACGAGCAGTTGATTCAGCAAGGCTTTTTTCTCACAACACACACTTCTGAGTTGCTCTACTCCTTGCAGAGCTAAAACTAGGTGGCCATGGCCATTTTACTTCACGATTGAAGATGACTTCTAGCCCTTCTCCAGAAGGACCTTCCTTCTTTGTGAGCTGATTGACACAAACCTATGCTTTTAGCCATCTTCCCCTGTTACTTCTTCACACCCTGCTGCAGTGAAGGTAGAAGGTTGTCCTTTCAAGCACTGAGTCCCTGCAGTATTGACTCTGTCCTCTTGGGAGGGACATGAAATGACACAGGCTGTTAATGGAGCAGTATCAGAAAAAGGCAACATGGTAGGACAGYATAAAATGTTAGAAAGGGAGCGTCTATATCGCGTGCGCTCTGATGTGCCAGATGTGCAGGCAGCTGTAAGCCCTGCCCCTCTGCCCACTGCCTGCTCCCGCGTTGGGTTTGGTCTCCACTGCACTCTGATACCCTGCTTCTCTCTGGCTCTTCTTTTTAGATGTTCTGTCCGAAGAGCAGATCCGGTTGAAGAAGCTGAAGAAGCAGGAGGACGATCAGGCTCGGACAGTGGTGGTGCGGCCGACTCCTCCGCACCCGCCGAGCCCCTCGCACAAGCTGACGCCTGAGCAGCTGAGCATGATCGAGAAGCTTGTGGCTGCCCAGCAGCAGTGCAACCAGCGCTCCTTCACAGACAGGCTCAAAGTGACGGTAAAAACACTGCCAGGGGAGCCAAATAAGGGAATTTTGGGAGCTTGAGCCATGAGCAGAGCATGGGGGAGAAGGGAGGTGCATGAAGAACAGGGTCTATAGACTGAAGTTCTTTAAACACCAAAAGATGAGCTTCCAATGTGTCTCAGTCATTCTCTCTGTTCACTTCATCTTTTGTATCTCCACATCTCACATTTTCACATGGTCTCCGCTCTGTTTCCCTTTCCCTCCYTGCAGCCGTGGCCCCAGGTTCCTGACCCTAATAACCGTGAAGCGAGGCAGCAGCGTTTTGCTCACTTTACAGAACTTGCAATTATCTCTGTGCAAGAGATTGTGGACTTTGCCAAGCAGCTGCCCGGCTTTCTGGAGCTCACCAGGGAAGATCAGATTGCTTTATTGAAGACATCTACCATAGAGGTGAGAGTCTGGCTCCATCACAGTCCAGAGTAGCAAAGAGGAAAACGTTTGGAGAACCAATGTGGAGAACTAGCTCCATCCATCTTTCAGGGTGACTCACTGAAAGAACCTCCTGCTGCAGGACCATTAYTCCAGTGCTAGATGATTCTGGTAAAGTCTTACTGAAGAGGATGGGAAGTGGGATCTCCTCTTCCCAGGAGCAGATACTGCCCATGGTGCAGCGGAACTAACTTGAGAATTTTGAAGCATTCTGAACAAAAGAAACATGTTTGGGTTTTGTTGTTGGCTTGTGTTTTATCCAGTYAGTGCTTTAGCTCTCAGCAAGTTATCAATGTAGTGATGTTGTTTTACAATTTTCAAGTCAAGTATATCCCTGGCCTCTGGTTTCAGGTGATGTTGTTGGAGACGTCTCGACGCTATAATCCAGAGATTGAGAGCATCACGTTTCTTAAGGACCTGAGCTATAACCGGGATGACTTCGCCAAAGCAGGTGGTGCTTTAGACAGGTGTTTCCTCCTTCCCTCTATCTTGTGGTCTTTCTTCCTTTCCTTTGTGGGTTGCTGGAGATATATTTATATCAGGCTTTAGAGTGGGACTTAGGTGAGATGTTCAGAACAAGTGCAGGCCCCACAGACCTTGTTTGCTTTTAACATGTGATATTGGACCCATTCATGCATCTTTATGTGTGAACTTGCTTAAGACACTGTGGATTGGTACAGCACGGGAATCTTGCTGTATAGAGGACAGGAGTCTTTAGTATGTGCTTGAGTATGCACATACTGTGTGCAGTCCTGCACCTCAGTCCAGCTGTGAGATCAGATGCCACCCTTGGCCTGTAGTGCTCGGTAACGTACATGCGTTCTCAGTGGTGACCCTCTCATGATTGCGTTTCAGCTGATAGGAGSTCTGTACTGCACACTGAAGACTCCTGCAAAATACTGTGGAGCTGTCTTCAGCTCAGTATATGATGATCAGTGAYGATGATTTCTGAAGCCTTTTTTCTTTCCCTGGAGGGATGAGTATCCATAATTTCAGATGCAGTAGCTGGAAGTAGGTGTCTTCAGCGTTTCTGAAAATGAGACTTTGGCTGTCTTTCAAATGWTTTTTTTCACTTCCTTGGGTAACTATTAACTGTTTATACTTGGGATTATTTTTACTTAAGTCTTCCCATCTAAGCGTTCCCAAGAATTCCTGATGTTGGCCTTTCTCAGTGTCTTAATCTGGCCAGCAACATGTTTGTCAGGACTTGCTGAGCTTTAGTGTTTCGTATGGCTGAGTGAGTGTCCATGTGAAATRGGAGGAGAGTGACAGCTTGTGTGACTGGTTTCTTCCAGTCTCAACTGTACATAATGACTAGGTCTCACCCCCAAAGGTTTTATTGTCAAGGTTTCTGTTCAGCACAGTCTTTACACTTGCCCGCTGGGAATTGATTTGGTTCAATTGGGCTTCTACTTTCAAGCTACCGGCCAGTCCTTTTTTYCCTTTCCACTGCTCTTTCTTTTTTTTTCCCCAAGCAGCTGGTGCTTCCCTCACCCAACTCAAAGGCCCTTTACAAACCCTGGGAATAGGTGAGAGCTGTAGAAATAGTCTGAGGGGAGGAAAAAGCTGAGGATGCTCCAGCKCTCTCATCCGCTGATGGATGCCTGCCTTCTATGAGCACACTGCCTTGGCCTGCCTCTCACTGTGCTTTCAGGCTGTAATGATTCTCATGATGTGGAATCATAACTATAGGGGACTGAGCTTCTGTTTTTTCTTTCTTTTATTTTTCCTGCAAATTTTAATAGATACTTTTCCTCCTCGACACTTCCTGGCAGTCTTTTCCTCAGCTTTTTTAGGGAGGCAAAAAGCAGGCAATCAAAGAGATTCTCTCTTTGTTCATCTCTGATGCAGTTGTACTGCAGGAAACAAGAAACTCAAGGCCCTGTTTTGGGGGAAGGGTTTAAAATAGTCCACATAAATGTGTAGAATGTAGTACAAAGAAGCCAGAGGTGGTCATAACCTCTGCATGCTGTCACAGAATAAATGTCAATGCTTTTTTGCCAAATGGCAATTACCAAAAAGGTGAGTGAAGGTTTAAGTCACACTGCCTCAGCTGCCCTGGATTTTAGAGSTAAAACAAATGGGGACTTTCAGACCGCTTGCAACTGTATTTCCAGCTTAGGCTTCAGATGAATATGGAGCATGGGATGAAAGCTTTTCTTTGAAAGCACRAGAGCTGACAAGATTTGAAAGAGATGATGGTGTAAGGGTGGAAAATACAGGTTTCCTACTTGTGGGCCTCTGACTTTTTGTCAGACATTGCAGAATTGGTAGTATTTTCTTTTAGTTATTGCCTGTTAATGTGCTGTGGGATTTTTAAGGCTCTCAGAAAATCTAGAACTACTATCACTTTGTGTTCAGGGCCTGACTCCTCACCCACGGTCACTGTTGCTCTCCGGTAGTGGTGTCTTGTGAAAGGAGATTTCAGCTACATTTGGCACATAATGTACGTGTAAAACTTCCCTCATCTGTTGGAGAAGATTTCTGAGAGATTATYCTGCAAGCGAGAGGCAGGAAACAAATGCAATTGCTGACCCTCATCTCTCCTCTGTTGCAGGTCTTCAGTTTGAGTTCATTAATCCCATCTTTGAGTTCTCAAAGGGAATGAATGAGCTACAGCTTAACGATGCTGAATATGCACTTTTAATTGCCATCAACATTTTCTCTGCAGGTAAAAATCCAGGCAGGACTGAAGAGTTGTGGGGTAAAGAAAATAGAATTTGAAAAAAGGTCACAAACTGAAGATGAGTAATGGGGTAGGGAATTTGGGGATATAGGGAGCCTGTTACTACTTCTGCTCATTGGGGAGCCTGTTACTACTTCTGCTCATTGGGGAGCCTGTTACTACTTCTGCTCATTAGGGTCTGAATCTTCTAGTGCCATCTGCCCAGGAAGGCAATTTCCATGCTCACGGAGAAGGAAAAAAAATCTGCCAATGTTAACTTTCCTCATTTAGAAATTTCTATTTTACTGTCCTTGATTGTACTTGTGTCTCTGATGCAGGTTGTGTAACATGAATGACATCTAGTGGTCAACTAAAAATACTTTGGATGTGAGACCAATGTAGCCCTGGGCCAGGAAAGGGCAGCAAAGAAGCTGCCTCTCCTCTTTTGCTTCTGTTCTCTGTGTCTTGTAGCCTGAAAGACACAATTCTGAGGGGTTTATTGCTGTTTTCCCACTCACTGGCTTAGCTGCTGGAGAAGCTGTCCTGCGGCCTCTAATCCTCTCTGGGAGAGCAACATGAGACCAAATGCATTTTGACAGTGGAGTTTGGTCTCTTTAACCTCCTACCTCTGTATAATTCAGATCAGACTTGCCATATTCAGTGAACATGAGTGAGAAATGTCAGTTATGGAAAACTGATGTGAAACGGCCACAGCCCTGGCTGTTCTGGGTGAAGGCCAGATGAGGCTCTGGGGAAGGAGMGTATGGAGAGGCTGGGTTAGTGTCCAGTGAGGCTGCCCGTGGTGACCTGCTAACTTCTCTCTTGCTTTTGGTCAGACCGACCGAATGTGCAGGACCAGTCGCTGGTGGAGAGGCTGCAGCACACCTATGTGGAAGCCCTTCATTCTTACATTTGCATCAACAGACCAAACGTAAGTGCCCGACTTGAACGTCCCAGGGAGGGATGCAGACTGATTTCTGTACTTAGCAGCCACAGTTCCTGCAGTACTGCTTGTACAGTTCTCTTGCCTTCTGTACCCTTGTGCTGTATCCTTGTGACTATGTGGTGGCAGCTGTACTTGGAGGATCTATGAGACATCACAGCCTGCTCTCCTGGATTGTGTTCCACAGCTTAGCCAGCTTGGACTGTCTTGAATTGGGACTTTTGGGCATGGTGTAGAGTTCCTGTTCCTCCCTTCACACTCCCACCTCCGGAAGGATGTTGGTTTTAAAGTTAGCATTGTGTTTATAACGTGTCATCCAGTGTTTATGTGGGTTAGTTTGGCTTGGCAAAGCTTTAGTATGGATTTACCAAGAGCTGTCTCTTTGTGTGACCCYGCAGGACCACCTGATGTTTCCACGGATGTTAATGAAACTGGTCAGCCTGCGGACACTAAGTAGCGTCCACTCTGAGCAGGTGTTTGCCCTTCGGCTGCAGGACAAGAAACTCCCTCCCCTGCTCTCGGAAATCTGGGATGTGCACGAGTGACCGCATGCTCCCGGGGCGCTGACGTGCCGGCATGGCGCCGACTCCCAGCCTTCGCTAACGAGAAGCCAGCCTCCCCTCGCCAAGGCGCTGAGCTCCGGGCTAGGCCGTGCAGGGATGGATGGGCCTGGGCTTTCAGTGACGTCGTGAGACTTTGTAGGAGGCAGCTGGGGTAGATCCCGTGGGGGGTTGGTTTCGATGTAGTGCCCACACCCCGCATGGATAACATGGAACATCTGAAAACGGTAGAAATGAAGACCTTCCCCATATACATGTACACCTCTCTCGTCAGAGTCTCTTTCTCTTTCTAAGCATGTCCTGGGGATTTGCTCACGGATCCTTTCCTCTCCTGTTGATTATGAAAGTGAATTTGCAGGAACTTGCCAAAATCTCTCTGAGAGTAACCCGACTCAAAAGGCTTCTGCAGGGTCCCCAGTGTACCTGTATCCGAGGAGCTCAGGGAAGTCAATGTGGATGTTCTAGGGGGTTCACTGGGTTTCCTATAAGTAAAATCTTTTGTGTGCTGCCCTCTGCAAAGATTCCCGGAGAAGCAGCTGTTATTTCTTTATTGTGAGACTTCATCTCTAGAGTTGCCCTTCCGTTCTGGCCCTCCTTTGGAAAGAGGATTCCTGGCATGTGTAGTGATCTTTATCTAACAGGCAGGCCATCATACATCAGAAAGATGTCAGGCATTAAGTAGTGGATTTTTATATAATGCATCACCATTTTATCTTATGCTGATTCTCAGCCAATTCACTTTACCTTTAATTTGCTAACAACTGGAAAACTGCACTTCAAAAAAAAAAAAAATCAGGATATAAATTTTGTATTGGGGGATGGAAGAGAAGAAAGGAAGTTGGGAAGGTCTGGTACCTGGACAAGGCAGGTGTGGTGAAAGGGTCCCAGAAACTACCGAGAATATGGAGCATGTGGCATGTGTTCCAAGGAGAGTGTGAATATGTATCAGCAAAGGGGAGAGGACATGCTGTGTTTAGTGAAGTACGGGCATTGCCTAAGCTATGGGCTGCACAACACTCATGGGCTGCAGGAATGTTGAATGTAACCAGATCTGCTCGCGTTTTCTTCCTTATGCCAAAGTCTTTCCAAGGTACTAAGTGATGATTGCGTTACGGAGGTCCTTGCTGTGTGAGGATTGCGACTGCTCTAGGACACTTGGGTCCTGTATCCTTTCTTCTCTTTGGGCACAGTGAGAATCCACACTGGTTTTATGCGCTAAGTAAGTATTTACATCCATAAGTATTGTAGGATACACAGCAATATTTTGTCTGACAGAAGAGCACTTGCAAAAATAGGTTCCTTATTTTTCCAAGAAACAACATCTTGTGGCTGATCTCGGAGATGTTACCTTTAGTATCCTGGTAGTTTGGTCTCTTGACTCTTCTCTCTCATAGGGGTCTGCTATGTTTGCTTGCCCGGTGAGCATCCCAAGAGTCTAGGTTCACATGGCTCTATTTTTATTTTATTTTATTTTTTTGCTGTGTATCTGAGCGCTATGCCCGTGGTGAGGGTATTGTGTCCATTTTGCACTTGAGGTTGGTCCCCTGCCACTGGCCTTCACTCTGCACCTTTGTAAAGCACTTGTAACAATCTGTAAAATAATCTGTTGTTTTTTATAACTCATTGCAATTGCAAAATTTCTTGTTTAAATCTGTATTTTTAACTAATCTGTTTGAGAAATGTTAATGTTTATATAAAAGAATAAAGCCTAATACAGGATTCTGACATTCTGATGTGCCATCAATAGATTGGGAAAGAATGGAGTAGGCTTTTCATTTGACAAACTCCAAACTAGTAAAAAAGTGAGGATATCAGTTGGGAAGAGGCAGKAACTAGAGAAAGAGGAATAACAGGTCAACTGCAGGTGGTTTCTTTCAGCTTCTAGTGTGAGATTTTTACCTCATGGTGTACTGTGTGCCACAGTGGGCAGGTAGGTGAGGTGGATTAGGTTGTATGTCATGAAGACCATGCCCTGTGCATACCTATYCTGTCTTGATTTGTTCAGTTACTCTCAGAATTTAACCATTTTTGTTATACATGGTCCAGTCTGTTTTTTGCCTAGGTACAACAAAGCTGAAWTACCGGCTCATTGTGTTTCTGGTTGCTGAGCAAATTATGCCAGGATCCTAGCTGTTGTTTCAYGCCAACAGAAACAAATAGTTTAGGAGAAGCAAAAGGAATAACTGGTGATATGAACTGCCTCAAAAAGAATGGACAGAAAAGGGAAAGCAAAGAGCTTTCCCAGAGACCAGCAGTAGCGGGTCCCAAGCATTTGAAGATCATCCRCCAAAGTGCAGAGGGGAAAGGATCTTCAAAGTGCAGTTGTCATTTTGGCGAGTCTCCACACCACAGGATATCCTGCTAAAACCTCTGCATTACCGAGTATAAATTTTAAACTCCACAGATGTATTTTTTAAAGCACTGAGCTGCACGAAAGGGAAAAGGATTAGCTCTGTGAGGGACTGCATTAGAGGGGGAAGTAATGAGCWGAGCCTGAGAGCTCAGGCCGGCCCTGGCTGGATTAGAGGGCCCCTGGGCTGCCATCCAAGGCTCTGCCCACAAAAGAGGCTGTTGGTCTGAAGAGGCAGCAGCAGTGAAGCTGCCGCCCAGTGAGCAGCTGGCGCCATCTCCTTAGCTAGAGGACAAAATCTGCATGTAAATACAAGGGATTTCCAAGAGGCGGCGGTGAAAATGGTGCCTTTCCTGGCCTCTGCTGGTGTCTCCATCCCTTTCCACTGTTATGTAACCAAGAACGTGTCTTTCATGTAGGTTTTTGCAGTCTTTAAAGTGTAAGTCAATGTAGTTTTGGGTTTTGCAGCAAAYGCAAGAAGAGCAAGGTACAAAAAAAAAGTCCATTCATGGCCCTTGTTGTTTCATCTGCACATTGGCAAAGCACTGCCTTGGCTTTGATGAGACTCCCTTCCAACCCTGCGAATYGCTGTACGTTTCAGGTTAGTTTTGCTGATTTGAGCACTGCGAAAACAAGAGGTGCGTTGGAACTAGAGCCTGCCCTGTGCAGCCTGTGTTGCTACCCCCATGCAAGGGCTGTGCTTGCYGCGGCGTGGTCGATGAGGAGGAGGACCTATCTGCATGCATTTGTCATGGCCCCACCATCAAGGGAGAATACAGCCTTGAAAGTGTCAAATGCCACAATTTACCATTTTGCATCTTAAAAAARGGGTATTTGTGGCATTTTGGATTGGATTTGGGGAGTGTTACTTCATTAATTTTGGTTTTGTTAATAAATGGCTTGGCTGTGTCTGGCATGGGTTTATGAGAGCCTGTAGACACTTAGGAAGCGGCAGCTCAAGCCCTAGGGCCTGCAGCCGCTCGCCAAGGAGCTCGGTGCACGTTCGCACGTACACGCGGACACCGCGAGGCGCCGCCCGTTACCTCAGGCGGCGCCGCCCCGCCCCGCCCCGCCCCGCGCGCGGCCCCAGGGGCGGGAGCAGCC